CACACCTGTAAATGGGTTCGAGCTCCAATTACAATTCATTTTGCATCACTAATTCCATTTTCTCTTCTCCTCCTTGAACTGTAGATGCTGTCTGCGGTGTACCCGGTATTCCACATCTGCTCCCTCGTAGCCCTAAGTATCCCAATAACACTATAATCATGAGATCTCTATCACAGCATGAAGCATAAATTGAACTCACCAGCCAAGGAGGGCAGTGTCGAACTTTTAACTGCAAATCCTCTGCAAGCAAGCGCGAAAGCAAACACGCCTCGCGTGCTACATTTCCTAATTGGGATGAACTTTAATCTTATTGGCCACACTTTTGGGGCTCGGCGTTTGCGCTTACCGGGCGATTGCGTGATTTCTAACACTGTGTCTGTCCTAAAGGGGATATGCGTGCATGTGCCTAACGTGACGACATCTCTAGCTAGGCCAAGGATCATAATGTTAAGATTTTGATTGCGTGTGCATATAGAGTCTTAATACGGCTGCTTTATCCACAAATGGATCCTCTGTGGACTGAAAGTCGTGACAAGTGAATGATAGTAGCTTGGTTCGTCCGTTGTGGGCTTCTTTGGTCTTCCTACAAGTACTTGAACAACATGCTCTCGGTCCCCGCCTGTTTTGCGCAATATACCTTTTGATTGTAGCCTACCATTCTTAGGTTAATACTGCACGTATTTAGCATGAGGTCAAACACTTGGGACAGTATGATAAAAAGAGATATAGAATAGAGGAAAGCTGAAAGTTGAGATACGCCTCGTATATAACATCCCAACCCGACCCTTCCAATAAAAAGCCATGTACAAAAAGACGACCAGTGCAGTCTCGTAGAAACAACAACATAATGATAAAAGGAAAGAAGAATAAATCCAGTCCAGACAGAAATTAAACAAGGACCCAAAGACTACGCCACAACCAGCAGGCAGTCCAGGGACGTATAAACCATGATACCCAAACAAGACTCAACCTGAATATTTCTTCAACACAACAGACAAATTTGTCACCCACCATCACACCCACACAACCCCAAACCCAAATCACGGATTCCGCGGTGTATTGGTATTGGTATTCGTCTCAACACTCCCACAGCTCGTCCCACGACGACCCCAAGACCTCCCAACCCTCGGATCAGGATGTGAAGGATAAGAGGTGGACGAACTGCGGCTCAACGAGCCAGGCGACGACGGAGCCGAGGAACCAGGCGTTCCTGTTCCTGCCGATGCAGATGTAAGGTTCGCTGTTGCTCTAGCTGTAGCTGCAGCTGCGGCCACGGTTGGGTTGCATTGGACGCAGATGAAGATGTTGAAGCCGCGGCCGTTGCAGCTGGTGCAAATTGAGCCTCTACGGAGATTTGTTAGTATTTGTCCTGATTTGATCTGATTTCTGGTCTGTGGTGGTTTTGCTTGTGCTCTGGCGTATGGGTATGGGTATGCTATGGATAGTATGGAATGGGATGATGCATACCTTGGGGCATTCCCTGCACAGCTCTTGCATGTCAGTACTGTGCGCCCGCCGATACAGGAGATGTGTTGTGGGTCGAGGTTTAGGAGCGAGTTTGTTGAGCTGGCCATTGTTTTGGGTGGTGGATGTATTGGTGTAGGTGATGATAGTGTCTGTGGAATACTGTATGTGCGGGATGGAAAGTATTGATATGCAGAGACTGAGTGGTTGGAGACAGAGGCTTTGTCTTTTTCTGGTCTTTGTCTTTTGTCTCAAAGCGCCGTCAACCAAAAGAAAAGCGGTATATTATCCGCGAGACAAGAAGTCAAAAGCAAAAGGCAATATAAAATAAGATCACAGTCAAAAATTGACGACCAGACAAAAGGCACAATCCCGTCTAGGCCAGAGTATAATGAAGCCAGGGCTAGACCCGGCGACAACTGGAATCCTTATACAAGAGGGGGAAAAACAAGGCAGTAACACGAAGTGTCCCGAGGGTTCCAAATGTTACATATGCAGCACTTGTGGAAATCAGGATCGAGGTATGGGATGATCAGCAGGACAAGTATCGCGCACCTGAATGGTGATAGGATGAAGGGACCCCCAGGTACACATGTACACTAGCCAGGTGTAGTGTCTATCCCAAATTTGTATACGGAGGCGGATCTTGTAGTCCAATGACATGGCTTGATCATCCTCGGACAAGTCACAGATTTCCAGAAGGCAGATGGCCAATTACACGCACAGGAGTAGATCTGGATATGAGGGGGGAGCGGCGTAGAAACCGTTCTTGGCTTAGTCGAGTTATGAAACCCCGCCTGGCGTGCCTGTCAAGCTAAGGTACGCCAAGGTACGCAGACTGCATAGATGCAGGGTTATATGAAACAGGAGCTGGTGGGGGGGAGCGGTCTTTTCGTATACCGATATACAGAGGACGTGGGTCAATACACTTGGGTCTACAAACTTCCCGGGCTACGTTCGCAAAAGGGCTAGGTCGTGTTGTATTGCAACGGTGTCCTGGTGGGTTTGAATAACGGATGTTCTGCCGGAAGGAGAAAAGTGGTGGATGCTGTGGAACGGAATGGTATAGTTCTAGCAGGTTGGCAAATGGAAGGTTGTCTAGTGTTGGGCAGACTGTCGTTCATGTGCTTGCTACGGAAAGATGTTCCAAGAGCATGGCCGCCACCACAACTTTGTGTCACAAACCGCAGGTATCTGCGGTGATTTGGTGGATTCTGACTGCTTGGAGATGCAGTATACACTCGGTCTCGCTAAAATGGCTCGGTTCAGGGGACGTCACTGAGCTTGGCTGCGGGTCTTGGATGTGAGAACTCCAACCACGGATAGCTGCATCAGGCCACGCGACCCTGATCTGATCTCCGAATTGTAGAGACATACTGGCCATGTTGCCGTGGGTCGCGTTCGGATGAAATTGCGAGAATCCACGCGGTGGGCCTCGTAAGTCTTCTTGCGTAGGGCCACTGAGGCGAGATTGGCTTTTGGCTTTCCATTCCAACCGATAAAGGGCGAAGGATCATGCATGGAATTTGATGACGCCAACCCGGTCCCTCAGATGGTCATCTGCGCAACTCGCTTAAGAGACACTGCATCAGGTCGAGTCGGTGTCAATAGTTCGAGGGACGTCAATGCCTCTCCACAAGCGCACGGATTGGCAAGTCATAAACAACGGCATGGGCAGGATGCACGATGACGATATTCCGCGGAGATATGCACTGATCGACCGAGCCCGTTATCACATTTATGATCCTCGAAATACAGTAACCCGATAAGCAAGACCGGAATAGACGGATGCGCGGACCTGACAAGCGTTGCATGCGTTGCCGACATCAGGGATTGGAAAAAAGAGAGGGAAAGAAGAGCTGCAAGTGTGAAGTGAGGTGAAAAGAACCCCGTGAGAGGTGTGATCCACCAATCATGCAAAGAAATCAGAATCAAAATCTGGGAATGTAGCCAATAACACCCGGCAATTAATGTATCTGAACTCCGAAGCGCCGTGGATGCGACATAGCCTCAAGCAGGTAACCGTCGAAGGATCCATGGTGGGAGCGGCTGCATGAACACCCCTGTCCAGAGAGAGCGGGAAAAAAAAAAAAAAAAGGAAAAAGCAAAGACGATTCCCTTTAACTGAGAACTGAGAGCAGGGGAGTCCTTTCTGCCATTTAGGCTTTTAACGTCGAGTCTGCTGTATGATCTGACAGTGCTTCATGCCGAATTGTTCCTCCATCTGCAGATTGATCACATGCGGATCGAATGTGGAAATGACGCTCATCCTAAATATCTCGGCTTGATCCCGTTAATATTCGACGCAAAACCATAGTAGATGACGGGGTTTCCGCTAAAAGTGGAGCTGATGCAGCCCGGCAATCTGCGTCTGTGGGTCCTGTGGGCTATAGACATGGCCTTTGAGCAGGCAGCGATCAATAAGCACATGTGTCAAACGGCCGAGCCAAAAACCACCTCACAAAGAGGGGCGAGGAGGTAAGTATGGCTGCAGCCAGCCACCTCAATCACGCGCTCCGGGGTTTGAACGCGGACTAGGGTCAAGGGTGTTGGCGGCAAGGCTCACGAAGGAGAAGGCTGAGACTTCCGAGATGGATTCTCCCGGAACTACAGTACTTCGAAGATCTCCCGAGTGTCACCGCTAAACCCCGATGGGCACCCAAAAGAAAAGGGAGGGAAGGAAGAACATACACGAAGGGTCGCAGGTCAGCTGACATGAACATGTTGGATACCTGCAGCCCAGTTGCCATTGTCGATGCACGAGACCGGTCAATTTGAAGTTGGAAATGTTCCTAGAGGCTGAAAATCAGAAATATCAGACGTTATTGTAACTCAACATCTCTAGGAAAACAGGGGTTTGTAGATGAGATGGGAAAGTAAGACGATAGAAGCCCTGATGTCAACTCGGATCTTTTCGGCTGGCGAAAGATCAGTATTAAGAAGACTATACCAGATGGAGGGACTGGACATAAATTCGGCGTTGGCGGAATGATATCACCGGTTGGTTTCCAAATGAGACTACCCAAAGTTGGTACCTGGCAGAGTGGCACGGAAGAGCACGCGCGCAAATGTGGTTGACTACGGAGGACAGAATAAGATAAATCATCCGCATTCACGCTCATTACAGCCTGCATAGCTATCACATTGAAAGAGAAAAGATAAAGCGCGGTGATACGTGGCGTCGGCTCCATGGCAACCGCATCTGAACTAGGTCATGCTCATCTTGCCGAAGCCACGGCAAAAAATCAAAGCAAGGGGAAAAAAGAGAGGAATGATCCAGACTATCCGAACGCCCAGTTGTCGAGGCTCCCATGAGCGTGACAGTGATCAGATCCTGCTGTTGTGTGTTGATAAACCCCCAGGATAACAATAGCAAAGAAAAAAATGAGAACGCAAGCAGAAAAAGGCAACCATCCACCCCGTAAAGCAGAAACGCCTCCCCGGGAAGATACTCTTCGTAAAATCGTAGGAACCATACCGAGATTTGGCACCTCAGTATTAAATCATAAAATCGAGTGAAAGCAACGTTGTAGCGTTTAATGGAAATAGTCAGGAGGGAGTGCGGCCAACATGGCAATAGTACCCAGGCCACCCAGAAGAGCACCGACAACAGCTGTGGCAGCATGGCTAGCCAAGTTCTTCGAAGGTGTTGGATGGGTGGACTTGACTCGCTTTGTCGGAGGCTCATTCTCGGAAAGAGCGGAAGTAATAGCATCCCGAACTTCAGCAGATGGAATTGTGTTGAGACCTGTGTCCTGGCTGTATGACTCCAGGGGTTGTGGGCGCTGGGCATCTTGGGAGAAGCTCTGAGACTCAAAATCGTTGGAGCTGGATTCCATCTGTGTGGCGGTCCGCTTCAAATCCTTCTGTGGAGAAAGGAATGGTCCATCAGCGTATGGCATCCCTTCTTTTGAAGCGGGGTGCCACGGAGCCAGCAGAGGATAAGAGTGGTTCATGGAGGATCCATGTGCGGACTGATCCACGAGAGCACTTAATCGCCCCTGAGGTAATATGCTCTGACAGGAGCTTGGAAGCTCACTAGAGACGGCACAGTTAGGGAATTGAGCAGCGGGGTTGATCATTGCGGGTGAAGTCGGTATGGTCAGTGTCTCTTTGACGGACGCATTCTCAGGTACGTCGCGCAAGCAGGGTAGCTCAGGTAGCTTCGGGGCAACTGGGCGGCACACCGGCTGTTCGGCGGCTTCGGCATCAAGGATAGTCGTGGCTTCTGGCCGCTCTGGGCACGGAGAGGTAGGGGTTGGCAGAGACGATCCCGAGTCGTTGTTTCCAGGGTAGAAGTTAGGCATAGAAGATGCGACATCCATGAACTTTGTAAGTCGTCTGATGTAGGCCTCCTCGGGGCAAGTGTCGTTCTCAACCTCGTCCTCAGACTCGGAGTCATCTTCTTCATCTTCGTCATCTTCATTCTCAGAGCCTTGATCTTCCGATTCGTCGTCTTCGCTTGAAACCTCTTCATTTGAGTCGTCCGAGTCGTACTCTGAATCATCTTCATCATCTTCATCATCCAGTTCCTGGCCGAAAGGCGTAATCCAAGGGACGGAGAATTCTTCCATGTGGCCCTCTTGCAAAACGCTTGAGCCATCCCAGGCATCAGATGCATCGGAACGATCATAGATAGAATCATCCCCGTCCCCGTCATTCAAGTCCCCTTCTTCTTCATCCAACTCATCCGAGTCCATAGACTCGTCATCAGAGGGCAGGTCCTCACAGAAGTTTGAATCCCAGTAGGGTGTGAATTCGTACCACTGATATCCAACCATCTGCGGCTCCCATTCTCTCACGATCCAGAATTTGTGACAGTCGTCAACATGGGACTCGGTGGCAAGTTCGGCTTTGGTTGCTTCACTCAGAAGCTCCCATGGCTTCTCAACGATCCACCACCAGTCGCTCATCCGGAGGTCATTCTCTTCATCTCCATCCAGAATCCAGAATCTGCGCTTGTCGACGAACCAATACCTGAGAGCGGGACCGGGCACACGATGGTAGGTGGTGTCTGATTCCTCGTCTGAGTTAAATTCCCAAGGAACCTCGGTTCCGTTCCAAGGCTGGAAGTCGGGGGAATCGTCAACCATGTAGGATGATTTGGCCACTGAGCAGCGGCGGGCGGAGTGGATAACTTTGTTGACATGGTCCACGTCGGGGATCTTATCAGATACACCCCAAGCCATGTCAGCCAGCCGCATGAATAAGGGTTTCATCATGGTCCAATCGCTGAATTCTTCGTCGGGGAGCGTTTGATAGCAGGACGGAGGGAAATGCTCCATTTTGGTTGTATGAAACCCAGGGATTACTTCATCCAGTACAGCAAGCTCTTGATGCGGCTTCACGGGTTGTTTCGAGGCTTCTACTTCTTGGGCGATGGCGGCAGCTCGGGCACGCATCTTTTGTAGCTCTTTTTCAGGCATGTCAAATCCTGAAAAGGGTTCCGTAAATTCCTCGGTCTGGCTTGAAGGAATCTCCGGCACTTCGGATTTCACCGGCTCTGTGACCTCGATTCGGTTCTCACTCACTGAGGAGACAGGAGATATTTCCTCAGCGGTGGGGTTGGCGGTGTCCCAAGATCGAGCAACTGAGTCCTTAGAGTCGTCACTATCAAGCATGGCCACCTCCGGCTCGACATCGCTGTAGTCTTCGGGGACGGAGAAACTGTTGGTCGAATGGGTGGGGACTGGTTTGATTGTGATGGCGTCCGAGCTCTCGACAACCACCGCCGGCTGGGATGTGGACCAGTTAACCTCGCAACGAACTTCGAGAGCCTCGAATACTTCTAAGCAGTGTCAGTCTGTAGCAACGTCAAGTTCGAACGGGACAACTTACCTTGACCACGGTCGACATCGACGCCGAATCTCAGAATATCTCCACTCGTCAGTGGAGTACCCACATGGGTCACCAGTTTGTCGTCGTTCAGATATGTTCCATGGGTCGAACCACAGTCGAGAATGTAGACGTTCTGCAGAGTGCATCAGCAAGAATGTAATGAGAAAGATATCAAAGATGTCGAGATTCAAGCTTACCCTTCTGTCCATCGATATGCTCACCAGAGCATGGTCGCGGGACATCACTCGAGAATCAAACCATCCGTTATCTTTGGCGGGAGATCTGTTTCTGGCTTCACGCTTCGAAGCACGTCCGATGGGAACAGGCACGTCATCGTCAAATAGAGTGAGGGTGCGGCAGGGATGGGTGTCATCCCAGAGAGGGATTAAGGTCACGGAGACTATAGATACGGCACGGTGTTAACTGAGAACGAAGTAGATCTCGGCGGGGCTCAAAATACATACCCTGTGGGTCTGACATGACGGAATACTGAAAGGCAGATCACGAGTTGCGGGGTCTCGAAAAAGAAAAAAGGCAGACTGGGAATGTCGTATACTGTATATGACGGTTAGACGGTCACAGCCTGGGTCAGATAAGAATCCAAGGTAAGATAGAGGAGCTTGATATCAGGTCCGAGAGGGTGAAGAGGGGAGATAGTCGAGATAAAGGTAACTGTAGCTTACGCATACGAGATCCGGGTCACATGGGCACCGGCAGAACGGAAAGGTAGCAAAAGATAAGAGTCCAAGATCAAAGATTAAAGATCAAAAGAGCATAGAAGAAGTTGAAGTTGAAGGAAAGTGATGAGGGGTAGATGATGTAGGTTCACCGCTGACCAAGGGTTCACTTTCGGTAACCTCCCTCCTTTTCCCACATCTTCTCTATTTCAGTCCCTCTGCAACATTCTCAATAGACATCTTCCGAAAAGAGCCTGAAATGGCGGGGAAATAGTCACCTTGCCTTCTTTGAGGCGGAGATATTCCGCACGCAAACCATTTATCCATCCCCATAGTTCGATGGTGATTTGACGCCCGCTTACTATCTATACCAGGTTGGCATTACCAGCTGTTAGGTTCAACCGTTCTAGCTTGGTTGGCAATTCTGAGATTCCACCATCAACAGCGACCGTATATCTTCTCGTAGAACCTTCTTTTTGAAGGGCCCCAAGCCAAGTCCGCATCTTTGGCTTTTATCGTTTATTCGAATACCCGAGCCAACGAAAGATGTGATACCGCCGTGGGCAAGCCCACGTCCCATAGAGCCTAGCTCACACGGTCCTTCCAGCTACTCCTTGCGCTAGAGTGATCATTTTAACTAGTAGTATACCGTGGGGCGGGGGGTACCAAAAGAAAGGCGAACGCGGCGGAGATAAGTGGTGCTTTGGTCGAAGCCGTCTCCAAGTTCAAATTGCGAAAGAATCCGGGACTTCCCATACATAGACGCAAAGTACATATGATTTCACTTAACTATTTTAACTACAAAACAACGGCCGGAGAGTGGGCCAGTCGATGTGGGGGCCGACGTCACGGTTATCCTTTCACCCCACTTCTATACGGAGTATAAGACATGTACACCGTTTTCAGCATACACCATTTTCAACCCACTCGAAAACGGGCTAGAAAGATGTGAAAACAATGAGTATACCCCCTTCGAGGTTGTGTTCCGTGTAGAGGCTGTATACACATCTACGACCCTTGTATAAGTCTCGTATACTCCGTAGGGCTGTCATAGGGCTGTCATAGGGCCGTACTGAAGTTCTAGTGAATAATCTCTCATTCTCTTCTATGGTACACAAATTACTACATGTTCACCCAATGCACTGGCCCAATAGCCTCGGTTTTCCAGCCGATCCCCCGATCCGCATATACCCAGTGCCAAAACAGAGAAAAAAGAAAATCAGACGGCCGGGGAATATGTCAACCGATAGTAAATACACGCAGAGTAAAAGTGGCCGGGAGTCTGAAAGACCGGGGGGAAATCGCTGGATGAGACAGACACATATGCCCCAAGGTCAGATCCAGGTGAAAGAATCAAAAGAAACGAAGAGGGAAGAGGGAGGGGTAGACTTGAAGTCAGTGCTTTTACATGCCGGCACCGCCACCCATGGCGCCCATGGTGTTCAGGCGGGCAGCCAGCTGGGGGTACTTCTCCTGGACCTCGAGCTGAGTGCGGGTGGCTTCGGCGTAGGAGATGGCGTTGATGATCTCGGCCTCGGTGCGAGCCAGCTCAGCAGCGCGCTCGAAGTACTTGAGAGCCTGGGAGACCTTGCCCTGCTGGAGGAGGAGCTGGGCCATCGTTCCAACGGCAATGTCGCACTCGGGATCGACTGGTCAGGGGTTAGCATATAGGTATACACCACGGCGAGTAGGAACTTACTGATCAGGGCCTTCTGGCAGAGGTTCTCAGCCTCCTGGAAGTCCTGCTTCCACTGGAACAAGGCAAGAGCCTTGTTAATCAGGGGCAAAACGTTGATACCCATGGGTTTGCTCTGCTTCTCCATCTCGACGGCCTTGTCGAACTTCTCGATGGCCTCGGAGTAGTTCTGCTGGTCGAGCAAAAGCTCACCGTAGTAGTTGTACACATCGGGGACCTCCTCGAAGTTCTTAACTGTCCGTCGGAAAGTGGCCATCGCTGAAGCAACAGAGCCCATCTTGTATTGTGTCACACCGAGCTGGATGTGAGAGTAGATAAAGGAGCGGTCGAGGTCAATCGACTTTTGGTAGTCCTTGGCGGCCTCGGCAAGCTCGGTCAGGATGAAGTGCAGCTGGGCACGGTGGTAGTAGATATCGGGGTCGTCCTTGTTGTGGGTGATGGCAAGCTCGAAGTCATCGGCGGCGGCGTCCTTGTTTCCTACAAAGATATTAGTAAAAGGGTTCGAGAATTACTGTTGGGCAGACTTACCGAGCTCGAGGTGCAAGCTGGCGCGCTTGATGTAGCTCTGAACCAAGGACGGTGACAGCTCAACACTCTTGTTCAGGTCAACGAGGGCACCGGGGGCGTTACCGCCGAGGTAGGTGAAAGTGGCTCGCATGTTGAGGGCCAAGCCTTCGAAGTCGCCGAGGTCACCGACCTCAAGGGCCTTCTCGAATGCAGCGGCGGCCTCCTCGTAACCATCGGCAGTCTTCTTGGCCATGGCGATGAGACCCTTGCGCAGCTGACCCTTACCAGACTCCTCGCTCAACTCAACAGACTCCTCGAGACCCTCGGGCAGAACCTGAGGACGGAAGCTCTGGAGGTAGTTGGAAACGAAGGTGGCACTAGGCAGCTTCTTGGTGCGGGCCTCGAGGATAGCCTGGCTCTTCTTCTCGGCAACCTTCTTCAGCAGGCGCTCGAGGGAGTTGCGGCTGACATCGTTGGAGAAAGCATCGATGATGCAGCTGGCAGTGAAGTCGAGGAGAGCTTCGCTGAACTTGCCGAGGTGCTCGTAGGCAATGGCTCTCCGGTTAAGGGCCTTGACATATTCGCTATCCATGGCGAGGGCAGCACTGGTGTCCTCCACGACCTTGTCCCAGTTCGACTGGACATTGTAGCAGGCGGCACGGTTGGAGTAGAAGACGGGATCGGGCTTGCAGAGAATAGCCTTGCTGTAAAGGTCGATGGCGTTGGGGTAGTCCTTAGCACCGTAAGCCTTGTTACCGGCGGCCTTCAGCTTGCCGGCATAGGCGTTGCGGGTCTTGAAACACTGTGTCAGCGACAATCCACCAATTGAAGCGATTTACGAAACTCACCTCTTCGGACAGCTGGCCAACGGTAGTCTCGTCAACCTCAGGAAGCTCCTCGGAGGGCTCCTCGGTCTTCTTAGCGGACTCTAGAATTGCGTCAGTCCCCCATGCGACCACTGTTTCAAGCGAAGCTGAACCTACCATCCGAGGCAGACTTGGCCTTCTTCTCATCCTCCGCCTTCTTCTTCTCTTTCCGACGCTGGTTCTTGCTCTTCTTGGGGACGGAAGGAGTGGACTTGCTGGAGTCGTTCAGGTAGTAGACGACACCCGCGCCGGTCACGACAACGGCAACACCGGCAATGGTATAAACAACGGCCTTGTTCTCGGAGACCCAGTTGGTGATGCGATCCCAGACCGATGCTGATGAAGACTCGGTGAGCTTCGATGTATCAAGCACCACATTCTGGGCGGGCGTGGGTAATGGCGACTCGCTCGACATGATGTGTTATGGAACCGGGCAAAGCGACCGACGCTGCTAGTTCTTTCTGAGGACAGATTGGATCAGTATTCAATAATTGATTGGCGAATTGCCCGAGATGAAAGGTATGGGAGAACTAACCGGACCTGAAGGAGGATAGAGACAGGAGTGATGAAGCTCGACGAAAAGTCGAGAGTTCCATCAGCCCGCACCGGCCAATCACGCACAACCCGCAACGTTCTCTCCACAACCGGAGCGAACGGGTTGGCGTCATTGTTCTCCCGAGTACTTTTCCACTCAATCCTTCTTTTTCTCTGCGTCTTGAGCCATGCCTCGTGGGAACTAACCGTGTCGGACTAAACCAGCAACAGTCGCAAACATGGCCAGCTCTTCAAGCCAGACACAACCCTTCGAGATCTTCTCCTCCGTCCGCTTTGATACAGACCTACCAGACGTAGCCTGTCGCTTTGCACAATGCTATCCCACACCTCATCACTCGCCCTATTACCTGCTCGCCTACCACCTAGACCGCCTGATAGCAGCAGCGCGTCATTTCCAGATGAAAAAGGCATTAGACTGGCTCCAACAGGATCTCGAAAGCTTTGAGCAATTCCTCGACGCGTCGATACCAAACCGAAGCAAGCCGTGGAGGCTTCGAATCGTAGTAGACAACAACGGCGACTGCACAGTGGAGGTAAACCCAACAGCGGCAATCGATCCAATGGGTTTACTCATTCCCACTCTGCACACAGACCCAACCGTGCCTGTGTGGAAGGTCTACGTTGATACACAATCCACCACTCCTTCCGGCTTTACAACTCACAAAACCACCGCGCGAGATGCCTACACAGCTGCCCGACTCAGGGCGGGGATCAAATCACCAGCAGAGACATCGGAGGTACTGGTTGTGAACCCAAAAAACGAGGTTATGGAGGGCAGCATCACTACGCCGTATTTCCAAAGGGAACACATGTGGATCACACCTCCATTGAGCAGTGGCGGTAACGCAGGGACAACACGGAGATATGCCTTGTCTCGAGGATTCTGTGTGGAACAAGTCATCAGCCGTGACGAGCTTGTGGATGGAGAACTGTGTTGGTTGAGCAATGGGGTAAGGGGGTTTATGCAAGGCCAAGTGGTATTGACATAGCCGGGCAGCAGGTCCTTACCGCAAGTTATGAGTGCACGACTACCATCGGTATTGAAAGGTATCGGTTTATTGATGAAAGGCTATGAAATCATATTTATCTTTTCTTATCCGAATGCTCCGCTCAATGCCACTTAGGTCTATTTCTTGGCCTTCTCAACCACGATCGGGCTGGGATTCCCCTTCCACTCCAAAGGACGAGGGCGCATGTACTCGGCCATGATCTCATCTGTGACCTGGGCCCGGCGGTCCTGGAATCCCTGGACATACTCCTGAAGCTGGGCAATACACTTTTGCTTGATCTCGCCCGTCATCATCTGTCCGCTCTCATACTCGCTGCGGATCTTCTCCAGCGCCTCGTCATCTTCGAGGAAGAAAGTCAGGTACTGGAAGGGAACGTCGACCTTGCTGTTTCCGCCAAGCTCGCGCTGCTTCTCGGCAGTGTCCTGGCCGCCGGAGAAAGCGTGCTTGTTAATCTTGTTCTTGATCTTGTTGGGGGTATCGTTCATGAAAATGGCAGAGCTGTCAACACTGGCAGACATCTTGGATCCAGGACCCTGGAGGGCGGGAAGGAAGATCGCGTGAATCAGAGAGGGCTTCTTGAACTTCATTTTCTCGGCGTGTTCGCGGCATTGACGGAAGTAAGGGTCCTGGTCAATGGCGCAGGGGATCAAGCAGGGAATGGAAGCGACCTTCTTGGTATCGGTGCCGAAGATGTGAGGGAAGCTGGTAGCGAATGCTGAGGCAGACTGGGTGGCACAGAAGTGGAACTCGCCAATGTTGTTGCTGTCGTTGAAGCCGAATGTACCCTTGACCTGGTTGATGGTGATTCTCTTGGCCATCCTGCACATGTTCTCGTAAAAGGCGCCGCCAATAAACTCGAAGTCGCTGAAAATGAAAGTCTTCTTCATGTCGAATCCAACAGCAATGATATCCTTGGCGTTCGCCTTGGTGTATCTCTTAGAGTCCTCAATATCAATCTTCTGGGAGTGCATGTACTTTTCGTCGTCGGTCATCATGATCACGAGAGGGCAGTCGAAAACATCCTGGAGCCACCTGTTTCAGATAATTAGCCTCTAGCATTTTCCCACAATTGGGGCAGGCGTTCATACTTGGTGAACTCAAATGGCACAGTGTGTCCCACGTGCATGCTGTCACTGCTGGGTCCACGCCCAGTGTAGAGGAAGAAAGGCTCGCCCTTCTCGTGCCGGTCCAGAATCTTGTTCAAGTCACGGTGACTGAACACAATACCGCGACGCATGAAACGGTGTGGCCGGTGTCCGGTGACCTTTTCAAAGCGCTCCAATAGCGCAGCATTGATGGGTGTGGCGCCAAACTCCCTGGTGAGCTTCTCATAGTCAACAGGCAGGAGCTTTCCAGACTCGTCAACACCACCGTGGACATCGAAAGGGGTCACGATTTGGCCAACGGCCTTGGTCTCGGGAGTCTTCTCGCCGAGGCTCAAATCGTTAAGGGCCGGAGGTTGGGCTGCTTCGTTCGCCATGATGTGCGGTCTGGGGTGAAGTCTTTGAACGAGCCGGTCAGTAACACGGAATTTTTCACGCAATTGCAGGAGACAGCCAAATACTCACTCTATGTGGTTGAAGAAGCGAATTTCTTTCTATTGCCCCTCTCCAATATCGGGATGAGTCAGAACCTCCGCTATCACTACGGGTTCTGATTGGTCAGGTCTATACACTGTCTTAACCCCGCGAAACCTTTTTCGTTTCCGATTTGTTCATTTTATTGAATCTATATTGAGGGTAGAGAATATTCATACAAATACATCATGTGCATGCTCTAACATGTGGAAATTTTGAATTCTGGCGGCTATATAGTTCGTCTCCGAAGTATATATATGTGTATTTTTGCTCGAACAAATTTATGAACAAGTCAACCAAAATGTACTAATGCCAACCCCAAATCCTCTTCAATTTGGCCTCCGTGCTGGTGGGCGGCCAGTAATTGTTATCTCGAATAGTATGAACCACAATGTCCATCAGGGCCTTCTGTTCTGTTGGATCGGAAAACCGATCCCCACATATAGTTATCGCAATACATGCAGCCAAAAGCGCTGTCGGAGATTGGCGATTTGACAGTGCTATACCACAAACTTCCAAGACAATTGACCTGAGCCTGGAATCCAGAGATGCCACAGCGCTTCGCTGACCTGGGCCCACTCGTACAATAGTCGGATCGTAAGATGTCAGCAGAATATTGATGAGACCAATACTCTGCTCTGCGACAATATGACAATCATCCAGGTACCACCTGCGAGGGAAGATCCCATCCTTCTCCTTTTTGGGGTCTGCAGAGTAGATTGGGAGAAAAGATGCAGGTCTGTTCTTGAGCCACTGGTGGTAGAGGTTTAGCAACTCTTCATAGCGTATGGAAGTGCGCTGGGCTTGTTCATCGTAGCAATATTGAACGATGTGGGCGCATATTACGATGAGTCTGTTCACCAAAACATGATCGGGTGCGACATCCCCGGACAGATAGCTTTCGCAGATTCCGAGGGGCAGACGGAAAGATCGTTGTTGGGAGAAGGCCATGTGAAACTCCTGGCGGAAACCAACCCAAAATGCAGCGGAGCGGAGTCCTTTTGAAGAAAGTGCTAGAATAGCTTGGGCTTCGATGAAGACTTGGAGTCCTCGGACGGCAGTGTCTGTGGGAGAATCAAAGGCAAATGGGTCTAATGCAGCAGATTAGTACGTATGACGGAGGAGGATGGCATGGTTAATTCTACGTACTGTCAAGCTCTTCATAGAAACGAAGAACAACAACTGCTGCCAGCAGATTCTCATCCATGATTGCATCTGGCTCACTGGCGAGGAATCGCAGGTGAGCAATGCATCGGTTATGATAATCCAATACCGCCTCTTCGGTGATAATCAAGTCCTGTTCCAGGCTGAATTTAACGGTCGTTTCTTTTTGTCGGCCTTTTGGCAGGGTCGTAAAATGCCTTGCTGATGCAGACAGAATGGCATTCAAAAGAGGTGCGCAAGTTCGCGCTCGCTGAGGAACGATCAAACCAAAATGGCGCTCGGGGTCGCACAAGTCAAACTACAGTCTCATTAGTTACAGTCTCATTGGGGCATTGGTGCAGCCAGTCTTACCCATTTTGCCAGCTCTTCGACAAAGTACCTTAATAGGAATGCCTCGCCTAGGTTAACCTGTGGAGTGGGTATACGTTGGGATTCCCCCCATGACTGTGGTAAGCGCTATTAGAAGTCTAGTTAGCGAATTTCAAACCTCAGAGGTGAAGCGATGGACAATGCAATATTGTGACGTACAATAGGGCTCAATCGGCTCGATAAGCTCTGTTGGTCAACAACAGAAAGAGAAAGTGACGATTGATGGTATCCATTCTCTCTGGCTGATGAGAAAATAGTGGGAATAGTCGCTCTAGGATCCCCATCCTGTGCTTCTTCGGTGGCAGATTGAAATATTTGCTCTGTGTGAGTTCCTGTGAATTTGGGAGTCTCATCGATATATTGAAAAACAGCAGCTCCTAGTCAAAGTCAGTCATGAGAGGTTGCATGAGTATTGAAAATATAGACCTTTTTCTGGTGATTTTATTGTAACACTTGTTGAGCTGTTATAGAAATGGCGCTTCGCTTCACGGCGGATGCAGTCTCGTCCAGACTTCTGACATCTCGAACATTTTGGGGTGCTGTCATCACCTATAACCTTGTTAGCACGGCTCTAGCAGAGCAGCTTGGATTGTTCTATTGGTAATTACATTTTGAATGGTTTCCTATGAGGTAGAATAGTCAGATGTGAACAACGAAATTATAGAGATGAAGACATACTCCGGCAATTATCACTGGGGAAAACCAATCAGCAAGCCAGACAGTACTTTTGTTTCAGGGTAGAAATATACGGGCACTTACCAGGGCTTTGGCCGCGAAGCCATCCCACATCTATTACATGGAAGTCTCGTTGGAGGTTGGCAAGTCAAAATGCGTGGGATAAGTGGAGATGGAATTGAATTACAGTCAGCTGATCTCTCCAAGAAGACAGCGGCAACTATATATTCTCCCGTTGAATTGTTTTTTTAGTTAAGCCCTTATTTTCGGAGATCGGCAATTACTACGTGTTCTTGAGAGCTGGTCTTTGGTGTGGAGAAGTCGAAGAGGACTGATGGTATGAAAAAGTAGAATCGGTGCAAAAATGGAACCGAGTACCAGCTGCCGTGAAAAGCACTTCAACACATATTTTAATTGCTCTGCCACTGCTTCAAGGACCTTCTCGGGTTCTGTGTCCAAAATTTTCAAAAAGTAAAAAAGAAATGACAAGAGTGGGATTCGAACCCACGCCTACAAACGTAGATCAGGAAACTGTTGTAACAGTAGGAGTTAAGGTGGACCTTAACCTGACGCCTTAGACCAACTCGGCCATCTTGCCTGTTCGATGAAGGGATGCCAGAATCTTCTGCTACATGAGCAGTAAAACTCAATGAGGGTTATGACCCACATGATGTCCGTTTTACGAGTCCTAATGTGACATCTCACAGCACATTGCCTGGACAGCTAGACACCAACTTTCATACCAGAATGTGTCAATACTAGCGTTATCTTCATACCATTTTTAAACATTAAAAAAGTAAAGAAAACCTAGTATTCATGGGGGTAAACTACCACGGGTGTCAGATATATATAGCGTTCTTTCATATCTCACAGCCCATCACCCGGACACCAAATCTTATACCAACGAGTATCAATCCCAGCACTATCCTTCTCATAGAACCTCAAATCAGTACTCAACCGAATACGACCTTCGATGTCCTCATTGCGCCCACTAGCATGAATGCTATAAGGATCATGGAAAACAACATCCCCTGCTTCATAATTAGTAACGAGCCATTTATGCTCACCATGCGCCGAATGCATAGCCTGGAATTCCTGCGGGGAGTTGGAGATCATCCCGCCATCAAGCATGTTCACGTTAAACGCGGAAATGCGCTGCTCGGGTGTAAAGTCTGCTGCGCGCTTGGTGTAATCTTCCTCGATTGCACGGCCTAGAGGTAGGGAGTTCTCCAAGTAACAGAGACCACCTCCGTCAATTGAGATGTCGCCTGTTGAATGAGAAATTAGTTACAGCTCTTTTCAAGGTATCGGAGACAGAGGGTAAATAAAGCCTCACCGATTGGCACCCAGGCAGTCAAGAAGAATCCTTCTCCACCTCTCAAGAATAACTTATCATAATGGATTCCTGTGCCCTTGCCGAGCGGCACGTTATGGCGCAGCATGGTGCGATCAAGGATACGGTGTTCCTTCCATCCCATTAGATTTCTGATGAACTTTGTTAGAGCGGGATGTTCGACGAAGGCGCGATATTCTGGTTCTTTGTGGGCGTCGATGAGAATCTTTTGCTCGACTGGGTCGGTGGGTAGACCTTGACCGCCGATGCCTTTATGTGCGTCTGGGTGGGATGATGAATTGAATATGCCATCCCGAGGAGAGGAGCCAGGGTTCAAAAGAGAAGTATTAGAGTATTGCTTGAAGTAGCTGAGGCGTTCGTTAGTGTCTGTTCTTCTCGATAGCAAGGAGAATGCTCACTGTTCCCTAGCATCCAATACATCTTCTCGTGGAATAACCCCCTTGACGAAAAGATATCCATCGGCCTTCAACCGCTCTCTCATCTCATCGACTGGCAGCGAAGCCGATGTTGGCCGAAGGAAACCAATCTTATCCGTTGAGATGCGGCCACCAGTCTGTGCAAGGCCTTCTGGCAGACACTCCTTCACAGTACCACTGAATGTAGGAGGTGCAAGGAGGGTTTGGACAGCAGCTGCCATTTTGTATAGTTGTCAAAGATCTCACCAGGAGTTGAGGGGTAAAAGAACGGACCGGCCATGAGCAGCCATTTTATAAGCGGCCCCGGCTAAGACATTTTGACAACAACTCATCAAGCCCTGAATTTTCATCGTACGTGGGACAGTTCCATATATACTGAAGAGATCATATACCCCGCATTGAATCGCCGGCCAATGGAATGCGGTTGAGGTGAAGACCGAGCGTTGATCAAATACATTTGACATTAGCAGCTTTGTGATTGGCTTAGACTTGGTTGGTTTGATCCGCTTTAGGCTGTCACCGTATCGCGCTAAACCAACTAGGGCCCAAAATCGCCGAAAGTGGCTCAATTGGGCTTATTTTCGGCTACGCTAGTCGCATTGGGAACAAGTTCCTCAAATGTTCGTCTCGTGATGGGACCTTCGGTGTTATGGTCTTTGCTGTGCTTAAGAGCACATATTGTTGATCGACCAGTGGTAGAGTATACCGTGTAGTAGATATAATTTCATTGCATACTCAATTGAATGCCAGGAAACTGCTTCCACCCCCAAGCACACTTCAACATTTCAGCAACATTATCCGTAAAATAAGCATATTCATCCTTCATCATCATCAGCAAATCAACAACAGCACTACGCTCAATATCTTTCTCAAGATATTCTCCACAGATAGTAATGCCCATAAGAGCCTCGAGAAATGTAGGCGACGAGCCACGATTACTCAAAGCAACCCCACTCAACCTCAGAACTGCTGGCTCTCAACTGTTCAACTAGCGCATTAGCACCTGCAGTGTACCCAAGACCTAACTTGGGCCTTTTGGGATCAAAGGCTGATAGAAGAATCCCCGAGAGCTCGGCGTGCATGATACCCGTTACGCAGCAGTCATCTCTATACCAGATCTCGGGGAAAATGTCGCCGTTCTCGGGAGAAGGGGTCTGGCAGTAGAAAGGCTCGAAGGAAGAGGGGAGGGATCGTTTGATATGGGCCTCTTTTGCTTCGAGGGCGTCCCGTTGTGATCTTTCTGGGGTTTGGGCTGAGCCCATTTCACTGGCCCCGAAGCAGAATTGGAAGACGTCTGCGCAGAATCCAACGAGTCTGTTTGACCAGATAACGTCGTTTCTGGGTGCGAATCTGCGGTAGCTATTGTAATAGCCGAGTGGGAATTGGAGGAGACGTTGTTGCATGAAGGCGCAGAATAGTTCCTGGCGGAGGGCGACTAAGTAAAGAACTTCGCTTAGAGTGTCTGGGCAATAGCCCTCTGGATTTTCTGCTTGGGGCAAAGACAGAGAATTGAATCTCTTTTTTGTGAGAAAGTCTGATGTATTTGATGGGGTTAATTCATGTCCAAATCCTGATTTGGTGACCTGTGCATCGAAGAACAGCCCTAGCATTTTCAGAAACACTTCCTGGTCACAGTCACTTTCTCGTAGTGGTGCACCATCTCCTCATCTGTGCGAAGAATGATGGCTGCTGCTAGTAATTCCTGGCTATGAACTTGCTCCGGGTCTGCGCTGAGTTTAATTAGGTCCTTGATGCATTCATTGTGGAAGTATACCGCAGTCTCTTCGTGAGACCGGGTACGGTGATTCCATTCCACTCGATAATGCCATCTGAATTTCTGTACTGCGGTAGTCGATATAGAAGGCGTGCAGAGATGGTGTAAATTGCATTCAAGAGTGGCGGGGAGGTGGCGGCTTGCTGGGGAATCACAGCTGCAAAGTGGCGCTTCTGATCACAAAGATCAAACCTTCTAGCAGCTTCTTCGACGAAGTATCGAAGTAGTATTGCATGGAGTCGAGTTTTGTTGACTAGCCTTGTCGAGGCAGGCTTGACCAGACTACGAAAAAGAAAGTGGTCGTGAACATGGCTAGGAGATTCCTGGGGGTGCTCTGGTGTATGCAAAAAGCCGGTGCATGATTGTCAAATTCAGAACCGGATTGGTGGAAGAATCTGACCTTGTCGAAAGGGGATTGGTAAATTGACGGCGCGCTGAACGGAGGATCATCAGATAGAAAGGATTTCGCAGACCCCTTACCCCTGTTTTCCGGTGTCTCTACCCCTATCAGGCCTACTTCAATTGCCGTATCCAATTCATCAAACAGATTCTCATCTCTGGGAGTGGCAATCGGGGAGACAGCGGTACCCCTGTATGCTCTGTCGGCCTTTCAGGCTCGGAGCAATAACCATCATCTTCCGAACCTCGATAGCCGTCGCCAAGTGTGTCAGACTTGGCCTCGTCATCTTGTGTCAAAAAGGTCAATTGTGCTATTACCTAGGGGCCGTGATATGCACAGAAGATTCCGGTAGAAGACCGTAGAGCCTGGTTTCTTACGTCTCGTGTGCAGCCATATCTGATCTTTCGGAAAAGCAAACTCGCTCTGGCCGCGCGTTATAAAGCTGAAACGGCCTCTATCGGTGCGTCGTCTGCAGATCTTCTTGTGTTGGATACAACGTCGGCAACCGCTTGCTCCGGGCTCGGACTCGCCTGTCCTCAGTCGTTAGAGACCTTCTTGATATGGCTAGACACATAGTTCTTACACTTCAAATGCCGTTCTGTACGTTCAAGTTAGTGACTTGACATCAAGTTTGAGTGGGTATGACATATCGACAATGATGACAGGGGACATCCCGTCGACGTCTAGAGAGAGGGCCTTCCATAACTTGGCAGAATATAGTCACGGAATACTGTCCAACGGTGTATCAGGTAATCACAGGGAGATGTCCACAGTAGCGGCGAATACTTCCCTTTTCACTTGGTTCGGATGCGGGGGGACGCTAAAGTTTGCGGCGTTGACTACTCCACGCGGATATCTCCGTAGTGGGAAATGTTCCCCGAACTCAGGGATGGTTTCGTGGTTTTAGCGTCTAAGCGATCATCCATGTATTGATCATTGAATATATTTGGAAAAGTGTGGGACACTGGTAGGGATTACGTCGGTTCCCGTCAACGCCACTACGATTTGAATAGAATATTCTCACAGTTAGGAATAGTGAATAGATAATGTAAATGTGTCATAAATTGTCATCGAACTCATCTAAGTATGATCAGTCTAAGTATGGTACATGCGACCAAGGACCCGACCCATTGGAGACGCTGTTCAATGTCCAGCAGCAATCGGCTTCTCCATAGTCTTCATCCTCTCCTCAATAATCTCCTTCCTCTCCTTCCGAAGCTCCCGAGCATATTTAACACCAAATCCATGCTCGAAGACCTCCTTAACCTCTTCCAAAACAAGTCCTGAAACCTCCGGGTAGAAGAAGTAGAGCCAGATGTAGCCAAGGCCACAAATAGCAGCAAAGAATCCAAATGCTCCAGACGGAGTCCAGGTTTTCATCATAGATAGGAATGTACTAGAGATGATAACGTTGGCTCCCCAGTTTGAGCAAGTCAACCACATAGTTCCAATAGCGCGAACCTCCAGAGGGAAGAAGTCGGTGCTCATCCACGCGGTGTTTCCGACTGAAACTCCGTAGAAGACCACGAACCAAATGATGAACACTAGGACAACGATGGCAGCGCTGGAGACCCCATGGCTGGTAACCTCCATCGTTTCCAGGTCGACGGGAATCCACATGAAGGCAACAGCGATGGCAATCATACCCACCGCCATTCCCCACACAGTCGACAGAAGCAGCTTCCTACGACCCATGGTATCGACCATCATCATGTTGACGAAGGTCATGATAAAGTTGGTGCCTGCAACAACAAGGCCAACGGCAGTAGGGTTGTCGAATCCGACCAGCGCGAATAGTGTAGACGAGTAGTACATCAGAGCATTGAAACCAGAAAGCTGAGAGATAACCATCAAGCCACAAGCACTAATCAAAGCGCGGAGGTTACTCGGGACAGTGTGCAGCTGCTTAATCTTCGAGAATCGAGAACCACTCTCGTTAATCTCGCGGGCCTGGTCACAGGCAGAACAGATAGAGAGTAAGACAGCATCGATCTGATCTTCGGTAGCCTTTTTGTAAATCTTCCGAAGGACGAGTCTGGCCTCTGCGTTGCGACCATTGTATGCTAGGTGACGAGGTGACTCGGGACAGAAGGGCATCAGCACACCCAGGACAATGGCAGGCACGGCACCCAGTCCGACCATGTATCGCCATCCGTTGGGCACGCTGGCAAATGCAGCTCCGATTGCGTAGGAGACAACTTGGCCTCCGGTGATGGACATGTTGTTCAAACCGATGAGTTTTCCACGGGCTTTGGCTGGAGCGATTTCTGCGACGTATAATGGCAGGACCATTGCACCGCAGCCGACGCCGAATCCGACCACGAGTCGGCCAACGGCCATTTGGGCGACGGTGTAGGCTGCGCCTTGGATGACGGCGCCGGCGATGAAAAGAACACAGCCAAGGTAGATTGCCATTTTGCGGCCGAACTAATACATGTAGAATCAGTATAGGATCCATAGAGAGACAATAAGTACAAGTGTGCTATGCGTACCTTGTCTGCGGTGTTTCCAGCAAAGATAGCACCAACAAACGCACCCCCTGAGCAAAGAGCAGTGATCATCTCCTTCTCATTACTCGTCACCGGTCTGCTGTCGAGAGAGTCACCCAGGTATACCAGCACACCAGAAATAATACCAGTATCATATCCAAAGAGCAGACCAGCCATTGACGCGGTTAGGGCTGCAAGCCACACGAACCAGCTGACTGGTAAGTTGTCGATGCTAGTGGCGATATTGTCCACACTGGCGTCGATCTTCTCAATATGGGCGCTCTCCATATCTGTTTTGACATCTCCATGGTTGACATTTTCTAAGCCGGTATCATTCTTCTGGTTGTCTTCCTGGGAGGACTTGTTGTTGCGAGGCCACATGGCGGGAAGGGAAGTATATAGATCAACGCAATATAATTAAAAAAAAAAAAAGCAATGGTGCTCTGCGATGCAGATTCAATTGACTCTGCTATGGAGGGCAGGTTAATTATGTTAAAAGGCAAATGTGGATTTATATATGTGTCCACACTCTCACATACGTCAACGCAGTACTGAACCACCCCAGATCTGCTTTAGTGCGGGGATCTGGGGAATTTCCCGCAAACCTTAGACTGGCCGATCTTAACTTTACTCGTCCGCCTCGCCGCGCCTTTCCCGCTGTTTCTCTTGGTTTCTGCTTATCGGCGACTCAATTTCCTTGTTTCGGCTACGAGGGAAAATGGTTTCCTCGTTATGGGGCTCCCCCATTTTTCTATCTACACTCTTGCCACCCAATAGCGTCTCCCCTATTTCTCTCGCACCAACTTACCCTGGTACAACTCAGAGGCCGGGGTTTGAGAATGAGGCTTGGGAGACTCGGGCAACCGTGTCTCACTTTATTGCGGCCGGCCGTTACTGTAGTCTAGGGCGATCTTGGCGGATGATAGATAAGCCGAGGAATTCGTAGCAGAGGGAATTAGAAGCCACCCGACTGGTCGGGAGGATGGACGATCTGAGGTAAATATTGGCGACGACGCTCGGCGGGTGAGTATTATGACGCTACGCATTGTGATCAATATCATTGTTGGGCATCCGGCATGGCTGGACCCTAAGAGAGCATGTATTCCGAGTGTGATGGATCTTCACCCGACCCTCTTTCGTCTGAAGTAATGACGCTATACATGTACATCCCATGTACACGGGATCTCGCCGAGAGCGAGCCTAGCCGTTCCCGACCCCTGTCCCGAAACGGAAGCTGGTCGGCATGGGGGACATAGAGAAGCATCCCGACTCTGCCTGTACAGTACAGTATCTCTCAGGCCAATCTCACTAGAAGTAACATTAAATTCCTTAAACAACAGTCTAGAATCCATATTTCCCCATATACCCAAAATAACGCCCATCCTTATCACAAGAATGCCCCACGGCAAACCCCTTACTCCAACACATGGAGTCCGTGCCAGATGCCGAGAGTTCCCGAGTTGCATCGTGCATGAATGAGAGAGTCCCTCACCGAAACCTCAAAATGCCAACCTGGCCTCTAGTTGCATCATAAATCGGCATCCCCGCATACAGTCAACCGCGGGGGCTGTACAGGAGACCGCAGTAGACCCTTTGATAGATGCTTTCCGATATTGTTGAGGAATTTCGTGGCTTGGCCCGGGCCCCGGCTATTCGATTATCACCGAAATCTGAGGCGGATACTGACCTGAATGAGTCTGCAGGAGGGGTCCGAGGGTTGCGTCTAGATGCATGAGTGAGCACATGGGCGCGGATTATCCCGTTTCGTGCAATTCGGTATATCTAATGTATCTGTGGGATTGATGTCAACTGATGTATTTTGTTTATGTTGATAGGATTGATGTTTGGGGATTGGGCCCCGCTGGTGTGTGAAGGGTTGGTTTCAAGGGTACAATCATCAGTGCGGGGATTAACAAGCCTAGAGATAGGTACCACTCAAGCCAGTTCTTGCTTGGCAAGACACCCATTGAACTTCCAATTACTGTAGATTACACAGTAGAAGACATTCATGTTCTCATTTGTGAAGACAATTGCTAACTTACAATTCCACCCTCAACGCGGGTGAACAGGCTCATCACCAATTTCCTCCATCTTATCCTCGAGCATCTTGGTCATGCGCGTAACAACCTCAGCATACCGCGCATCATGATAACAGTTGAAGAGCTCAAGCGGATCCAGATCACAATCAAACAACTCCCACTCCTTCTCCTCACCCCCAGGACGAGTCCCCTCAATCCCGAAGTCTTCATTATACCAATAAATCAACTTATACCGCTGGTCACGCACACCATAATGAGCATACGCCTCGTGGATAACATCGCGATGCATCCAATAACGATGGTACGCGACTTGCTGCCAATTGGTAGGTGTCTGCTGCCTCAACAGAGAACGGAAACTCACTCCCTGCATATACGTCGGCATCCGTAGACTGGCAAAGTCTAGGAATGTAGGCGCGAAATCCACATTGCAGATTATATCGTCACATACCGACCCGGCCGTGATCTCCCGCGGGTATCGGATAAGGAAGGGCATCTGGAAACTCTCCTCGTACATGAATCGTTTATCGAACCAGCCGTGCTCGCCGAGGAAGAAGCCCTGGTCGGAGGTGTAGATGACGATGGTGTTTTCGGCTAGGCCTTCTGCCTCGAGGAAGTCGAGCATGCGGCCTACATTATCGTCTATGCTTTGGATTGTGCGGAGGTAGCGCTGCATGTAGCGCTGGAACTTGAATTCGGCGAGCTCTTGCGGCGTCTTGAATGTGAAGACTGTGCCGTCTTCCTTGTCAATAAGTTTCATTCCCGTCACGTCGTCTTCCGGTGCGGGAATCTTGCGGTCTTGAAACCACCATTTGTCGATCATCTTCTCGCCGATGTCTAGCCCGCCGTCTGGTTGGACTAGACCCAGGTCGAAGTATGTGAGGTCTTCCGCCACACGCATCTTGGCGACCTTCGCTGCCTGCGCGCGGTTCTTGTAGTCATCCGTGAATGTATCCGGAAGCCGGATTGGGTCCTTGTATAGGTCGCGGTGTTTAGGGTGGCATTCCCAGCTGCGGTGCGGCGCTTTGTGGTGGCACATCATAAAGAAGGGCTTCTCCGGGTCGCGCTCTTTTATCCAGTTCAGACTCTTGTCTGTGATTATGTCGGTTGCGTACCCGCGTTCGCGCTTCGTGCCTTCTGGTCCGATGAATTCCGGGTCGTGGTATTCGCCCTGTCCTGGTACTACGCTCCAGTAGTCAAATCCTGTTGGCTCGTGTTCTTTGCCCTCGCCCAGATGCCATTTATCCACCATGGCTGTTTGGTATCCACCTGTTCGTAGGGATTTGGCTACGTTGGGGTTGTGCTTGTTGATCTTTGAGTCGAGGGTCATGACTCCGTTGACATGGTTGTGTGTTCCTGTGAGAATGGCGGCTCGAGATGGTGTGCAGATGCTGTTGGTTACGTAGCAGTGGTTGAACTTCATGCCTTCGTTCGCGAGTCGATCGAGGTTAGGGGTATCATTGATACCTGCTCCATAACACGAGATTGATTTCGAGGCATGGTCATCGGCCATGATGAACAGAATGTTCGGGCGGGTTGGGGATGCCATGATGCCTTCAGGTACGTGATTCCTTGATAAGCTGGATGTTGCGGCGATGGCAGCTGTTCCTTTTAATTTCCAGCCAATTTTGGTCAGATTGAACAGAGATCTAAGTGTAAAATTCGTCCAGGGGTGTCGCGGTTTAATACCCCAGCTTGGTCCTCTTATATGAGGAGATAGTCCACTACAGCCCCTCCTGCGGAACAATATGATCTCTAACCCCTCATTAATGACAATTTTTTCCAATGAAGATCCGTTGAAGGGTTGCTAGCAAAGAAAGAACGGCGCAAGAGTACACAACGTCCGTAGACCCACTTCACTACGGGTGTCGGCGGCAGTCGGTCTTTCACCACATTGGGCAACGGGAGAATATAATCAAGCTAAAATCCACTGCTTCAAGAGCTTGAAACATCAGTGATTCGAGATTTATCGTAGAGCATCAATAAGAATTCCCATTGAAATTTCAACTCCCGAGCTTGGCTATGATACATCTACCCACCGAGGCCGAGTCAATCATAACCATCATCCACAAAATTAGCCTGCCGAACCAAGCTATGAATCGCTAAGTGACCATGCCGGTAAAAGCCCTGATCAAAAGGCGGAGACGGGCCACACAACTCCCGGTATATCGACTCCGGCTCGGTATTTACTGTGTGCTCAAGCCTTTGCAAATCCAAGACAATTTGTCTCGTACTCGGCGAAGACGAAAAGTAAGTCTCGGTGACAGCTACCGCTGTATGTACCTTTGCGGTTGCATCTCTCATTTCCAACGGTACGTCCACATCAGGCGAAGATGGAAGGAAAAGCGTTAATCGCGTTGCGTGGTATGCACAAACGGCAATCGAGTGCGGCAGTACCAAGGTAGAGGGAAGAGTCTGCAGGTCAGAAAGTATCTGATTGATACGCTCAACATGCTCGTGGCATTGACGGACGGCGTGTTCCCTAATACTGATATCCATCGCTCCGATAATGATTTTGGGGGCAGCTTCGGGGTATCCAGGGAGAAAGAGCCGGTATAGATCGCAGTGTGACTGGTGCCAGGTGATGGATATTTGAAGGTAGCGTGTAAACCACTGGTCGTTCTGTATGGCGATCAAGTGTGTTGAAGACGTTATTTGATATCCGAAAGATAGTTCAACATCCGCCTGCACTCGCCATAGGTCCTTCTGAAATTCCTGAACTAGACCAATCAAGTGTACGAGAGGCTGTTCCGACAAAGCTAATTGTCGGGTCAAGCGCATGATGTCCTTTTGGATTTTGGAAAGTCGAATGCATACACCCAGCAAACTGATGGGGGATGTCCAGTCCTTTTCCAGATGAGCCAATCTCGGCGTTGCTGCATGCCCTGGATTCCCTATAGAAAATATATCCTCTCGACATGGGAGGCGCTGATAAATAATTGTGTGTGGTATTGTCTCATATTCTGGTAGCCCCACGGCAAACTGACCATCGATTGCTGTTAGAGCCCAGAGAACTCGCCGGCGAGTCTCTTGGGCGATAAAACTTAACTCGGGCTGTTCATAATTGAGGCGCAATGCAGTGGCTGCTCTTGCGGCCCAGCCTGTCAGCATATAAGCTCTCGAAAAACGGCCGGCTTGGATATAACAATGAATAATCAAAATCAAGGCTTGGAGTTTTACAGTAGATGGCCTTTCCAGGTGGTCCAAGAGGATCGTCTCTGCTTTCTTGAGGAGAGACACACTCTCATTTAACGGCTGGCTTTTGGGTGACAATAATATATTTGCAATTGCGACAATGGCTAGAGCAAGAGATTGGTCCAGGGTGTTATTCTGGCTTTGCTCTCGAATTGTCGGCTCATGAAGAAAGGCATACGAAGGCATCGGATAAATCCGGTTGAAAAAGTCACCAACCCTCTGGAGAAGTTCTTCATGAGAGATAAGTGAGAACAGCCTATATCTGTCAGATGCATGACGAAATACAGTCGGGGAATCATACAAGTCCTCATCCTGATGTGGGTTTGAGGTGACTGTCACCTCTGATGGCCGCTCAGTCTGTTGAGGCGTGCATTGAACAGGCTCTTTGGTTGTTGGATATCGACATCGGCACTGCCTGCGAATGCAATTCGCACATTCAGGCCTCTCTCCAGAGCACCGAGACTTCTGACGACGACATTCCGTACAAGCCTGACTTCCCCGCCGCCGTTCGGGCGGATGGTCTTTAATATTATCATACTTGGAAGCCACTCCACTTTCTTTCGAGAAAGAGCATGCAAATTCCAGTCGGGCACAATTCTCGCAGGTGCCTGGGCGGCGATCGCAACGCACCTGTCTTTTTTAGCTCGGTTCTGACCCGCGCTTGTTCAAGCTTACCTTACGACATCGACACTGGAAACATGGGGTGCGCTGAAGCCGTCCCATATAGAATATCGGAATTCAACCTGATGGATCGGAGTTGTGTAGATGGGAAGAGAATCGAAATTGGAGGGGGCGGGAACGGCTCCACTAGTTAACGGGATTGTACCATCGAGTTATTATATTCGACATTGGCATCCTCTATCGCATTTCGAATGTAGAAAGGATTACGTCTATTTATGGCCCTCACCTTCTCGAGTTTGTGAATGCCATATAATTTTGATGAAGCCAGGGTTAGAGTTGGTGAGCGAAATGTGCCTATCGACCCATTTTGTTAACTGTTAAAGTGCCCAGGTATGGTTTGAGCCTGTCCTGTCTAAGGTACATATATGGCGTTAAAGCCCAACGCTAGCTTTGGCGTGAGAGCTAATGTTAAGTTTTGAGGCACTATCAGCAGGTCCCTGGATGTAAATCTTAGACTCGGTAGGAGGCCACAAATGTCTTTCCTCCGTCATAGTAGATACAGCGGTGTGCTCTTCCACGATCAAATACTCTCCGAAAGTATATTGCTTTATTAGGTAGGTTTTACCCCTTGCGTCGTAGACACTGACCCAAGCAGTGTCTTTTGTGAAGAGTCACTTCTGATACAGCCCTTTGGCAACTATGTTTTCTATAGGATGGATGCAATCCCTTACAACTTATCTCAAGCGCGCAATCCAGAGATCGTAGTGGATCTGCGTGTCAATTATACCTTATGCATAGCTCTTTGTTTGGACATTGGCTCGGGCCTTTTTAAGGTTGCCCACGTGTTTGCTAGATTTTTCTAGAGCATCAATGCGTAACATACACTTCGGGATAAGACACGACACGCGTGAAACCCCCTTGCAGTTGTGAATCTCCTTATCACAAACCTTGCAATGCAACTTCTGTGCGTTGCGATGCTGATATATCTACTCCGAGTGAATAGAAGTAAACCTCGGTGGTGAATTTTATCCGGGCATCTAATAGCATATCTATCATAAGAACTGGTTGTTTACAGCCAAAAATTTGGCATAAGTGACTTGTTCGTGCTTATTGTAGTACCAAAGATCTTGGGGCCATTGCGCTACATTAGCGCTTAGATCACCACGCGAGTTATTTCCCGAACCCTATACTTCGGAACTAACTTTCCATTTCTACTCACCCCTGTCTGACGTGTGTATAGAAAGTATGAGTTAAATCATAAACTCTTTCATGTACAAGACTCGACACCCCTGCAATCTTACTGCAAGTCAGTTTCTTGCGCACTTAGCCCATTTACCAACTGCTGACGAGGGATGAGTTACGGCCAATACGGCTCCAGTGTCTTCAGAAATGCCTCATCTCATCTTAGACCTCGTCTCTTCTAAATTAGTTGTCAAGATCTAAATCGTTTGCCTGCATCGTAGGCTTACTGGTAAATCTGACAAATTGCCGTGGTGTGACTTTCTTGCCAGCCACATTGAGAGACCGGCCAATACGGGGCTGATCGGCAGCATCATCTGACGCTTCAATTGCGGGATTATGGCTGACGCCACGGTCGGGTCAGCCGCTAGCGACTACGGTACTAAGGTTACGCCCCCAAATCCTTTATATTTGGGGCCTTCCGTCGGTGGCGAGCGCTTTGTGGCGCTTGGGCCGTAGGCCCTCCAGTCTGCTATTCTATCAAGTTTTCTTCAGATGCCTAGAAAATCGTGGGTTACCCCAGGTAGAAAATAGGAAAATATTATTGAACGAGCAACGTATAGGGTTTACTCCACGTGGATCCATGTGGGCCCATATGGCAAAAATGTCAAGTTGTGTCTACAGTCAACAGTCAAATCGGCCAAACAGCCAAATCGGCCTCCCCGTTCACGGCCCAGGCGGGGCGTCCAAGCTTGGCTTAATGAAACTTTTCCCCCGCACACACTTTGATCCCGCTCCTACGGGGTGTCGACTTCATGTCAATATGTGTATGCAACCAAATTGACTACTATGACCTTCAAACATACCATTTTCATTAGAACTAGATCAGTAACACTCGCCTCGGAAACCTCTGGAATCAGCCCGGGGGCTGAAAAGTGCTATGTCCCCTTCCAAGGCGGCTAGTGCTTACCAGGCTAACCCTAATTAGTCCTCGAAGACAAGCCAAGGGTGCTAAAGCGCGACAGGATTGCTTTCGGGTGTATCGGCGTTTCGGTCTACCCCACGGGGGTGCAGATCGTCTTTATATGCGGGATAGTCGCCAATTTTTTCTCTCCCCACGAAAGTGCTTTAAGGTGATTCTTTCGCTAGGGGAACAAAGAACTTCCCCGTCACCTTTCTTACTCTCACTTCCAGCACTCTCTCATCATGGACGGAAAGGACTCCAAGAGCGTTCTCTCTCATGAGGAGGACGTTGCCGTGTCGGCTCCTGAGCTTGCTAAGGATCATGCTGCTCTGGCGCCGGAGGTGGTTCAGGAGAAGGCTGAGCTTGCACCGGAGCTGGTTGAGCCTGCTGGCCGTGGCCAGAAGGCTGGGGCTATGAATATCATTGAGAATCCTCTTGTGGTGCGTTTCGCAATGTTATATCCTCCGCCATGTTCCACTATGAACTACATTTGAATATGGATACTGATTGTTTTCGTTTCTGTAGCGCAACTCCAAGGAGCAAGTCGTCGCCGA